TATTCTTTAACAAAATTAATTAATCTTAACTGTTTAATGAATAAAGTTCTATATTTTGATTGATATGAAATACGAAAGAATATTTGTCGATATTCTTAGTCAATATTACCATAACGACGGCATGTAAAAGCACATAAATTACTAATAAAATCATGTTGTACGTCAATAACAGTTGGATCAAAGCGCAAATTATCAAGCAGAACATAATATTCACGGATAGGTTCATACCCACGATCAAATCTTCCATCATAAATTTGCTCAAGTTCAAAACAAATTTGTTCAATGTCTTTTTGACATACGTTTAGTGCAACGTTAATTTGACATTGTATAGCAAAATTTTTTGTTAATTGTTCTTGAGCATCTTGCTTATTTGTTACAGCTAGAATATAATGATCAGAGGAATGATCATCTGCATAAGCGATTTCTTCTGCTTCCCATTGTCCGATAACACTTATCAAATGTCTTTCCTGTTCACGAAAACTTTTTAATCGATAAAGATCAGCTTTTCCTTGACAAAATAAACGTCGTAGAACTAAAATAATAAAATGAAAACCTAAGTTCATCCAAATGAACCAATGTCGAATTTTTCTCACCTGATAAACGCTGAACCGCTTCATACTCTCGCTCCATACTTCCTATTACATCCTCATGTTCATATCGTTCGTTATTGATTTGAATTTTCAATATGTCGAGATCATCTTTGAGTTCGAAAATGTCATCACTCATCAGATTAATATTGTTAGTTTTAATGTGTATTCGAGGATGAACATTTAAAATGGTATCAATTAAATATTTTCGAACGTCCTCTTGGTGTATGTCAACTGAATTGAGATGATCAATATAACAAATTTGATCTAGCTTCATGCCAAGTAAATCAATGAGTGCAGCTCGAGTCTTTTTATTATATGTGTTGGGTCGATCAGGCGGTAGTCCATTAACTATTATTATTAAGGAATCCGGACTAAGTGTATAGGCGTTATGAATGGCTTGAAACGTAACAATATCTTCGTTTCGAATTCTCCCGTTCTGATGTCCAAATACATAAATAACAACAAGTGGATGTTCTTTCTGTTCTTCAAATGCTCGGCT